GTATTTTCTTTTTGAAAGGGCTGAAACCATAATCCAGTGCATCTGCCTTGTGTTGCAGACTGGGGGGCTGAAACACAAAAAGTAGAAAGAAGAAGCTGCTTGGGTGGTGACAGCTGAAGCCCAGCGCTGGGCCAATGAGCTCAAATGCAGTATTCATCACTCTCTGCTGGCCGTAGTCAACTCCCTTGATTTAGTCAGGCAGGACTGTGTTTTCTACAAAAGAAATGGAAGAAACCAGAGACAAAAGACAAAATGGGGAGACAAGAGCTAGTGAAAGAAAAAGGGGAAGAGAAAGGAGGATTCCCAGCTGTCACCTTTCAGAGGACATAGATGGGTAACCTTTTCTCTTACTTGTTACAGCATCCTCAGAAATGACGGTTCACCTTGAGTTTGACTGTTGCCCCCAAACGTGGAGTAAAATACATGTCACCACCAAACTGCAAATCTCCAACTTGCCAGCCATGGTGGTGCCATATTGATCCTCTCAGGTATGAAGAGTCAAGCTTTCAAAAGAAAGTTAGAGGGGTGGTTTCTGAAGGCATGGCAGAGTTGGCTCCACTCCAGTATCCCAGTCACTGCACCAGGTGAAGAGGAAGTAAGTTGTAAAGACATTTGGATATCATCAAAGGTTTTTTTTTTTTTTTTTTTTTTAAAGCAGCGACCACCTCACCTAAGTATGCCAGGTTTGTGATAGAACTGTGTGTGTTGGGGGTTGTGTCATTATGTGCCTAATGAGTCTCAGTTCTTGACTGACCTTTGATTCACCTATAGTCTCTGGGCTGAGTCAAGAATACAACTTTCCTTATTTCCTCGTCACTTGACCACTTCCTCCTATGGAGACCCAGGGAGAAATTATAATAGCTCAAAGTCATGGTTTTGGTGACTAGTGTCAAGAAGAGTCAGGATTTGAAGAGAACCACTCATAAGCTGTGACTTTAATCTCCATGAGCCTCACTTTCTTTACCTCTAAAGCAGAAATAACACATACCACTTAGCCTCCAAGAGAAAGTTAAAACAGAAACCAAATAAGGAATGTAAAGTACTTACCCCAGGACAAGACATATAGGAAATTATTTAAGAAAAGACTCCTCTAACTGGGGAGGGTTTCCCTAGAGCCGCCAGACTTTAATTCTAAACAGAAACCCAAGCAAGATTGTATCAGATTGCCTGATTCTACCACTTCAACAAGTCAATTAAGATGAAAGATGGAAATTGTAGTAGTACCTACTTCATGGGGCTGTTGTGAAAACTGGCAAAGATGATGTTTGTAATATGCTTGACACAATGGCTGGGCCGTGACCAGCACTGCTTGGGTGATAAACATTGTTATACAAGCAGTAATCATGGGACACAAGCTGATGTGTTCAGCTTAGCCCTTGTCCTTTATGGTATTCATAGTCAGGAAGAAAGATAAAGTAGATCCAAATGAGATTTTTTCATACTAAAGCTGCAGTAGATGTTGCCAGGTCCCACCCCTATTGTCTCAGACCTTAGCATGGTAGCTACATAGTGATCCAACGAGACTGCTACTGTTGGTGGCTATAATGACCCAACTTCCAATTGCTGGTGGCTCTGTATCTCACCTCTCTGGCATCCACTGCCTGCTCTGTGTTCAGCAGAGTGGAAATCCTGAAGAATAAATGTCCCTTCTAGAGCAGTCCTCAACCAGTGATGGATAGCAACTGTTGTACAAATACCCTGGCTCCCTCACACCTCAGTGTGATAACTCCAGGTGTGTGTGTGCTTTCACTGGCTCTTGGAGTTCCCTAGTAGGCTAGCACTCCAGTTACCCACTGGTTCAATAAGGCATCATTTACTGGCTGTCTGTCTGCCTTGTTCCAACCTCCATTCTCCTTCTGGGGTTTACTGTGATCATCTCCATATAAGCATCTTGCACTTGGACCCTTACTTTAGGGTCTGAACCAAATTATGACAGTTGCTCACTGGTGTGCATATGCTGAATAACCCAAATGTGATTGTGTCTATTTAGGTTCAACTGCCAGAGTTCCAGGGTCAGGGCCAAGAAAGAGGGTTGCTACCTGGTTACCTCAGTGGCAACTGTTGTGTGCCTGCCTCCCTGATACCTGTGCTCCTCTAACTTACCGCAAGTGCTTGTGTGGGAGCTGGCTTCCCTGGCACTGCCCCTGGAGGCAGGAAGCTATAGTTAGGCTGATGTAAGAATCTGGAATTGTGTCTCTAGGCTATGACCGAATCCCAGCTGTGGGCTTCTCAATTTAAACACAACATCTGTGAACAAGAGGAAGCATGCTCCATCCAGGCAAATTGGAATTTTCTTTCTGTTTTCTTTTTTAACAGAGGGTAAAACATAAAACCACACAACTCTCTGAACCATTTAGCAGTAGAAATAAAAATAATAATTAGAAGAGTTGATCCAGTTGAGAAAAGTCAATCTTATGATAATAAGATAAACTAAAACACACTCTTTTCAAAGAAAGGAAAACAGTGAGCTAAAAGGTAAAACTCAGAAGCACTATTTCTGGATTGGGTAATTGATGTATAAATAAGTCCTATCCTAATTTTCCATGAAAAGTAAAAATATAGAAAGAGAAGAGGAAAAATAAAAAAGACATTCAGAGCCAGCTATGACACTCAAGAGTTCATTAGAGAAAATTACTACATTATGGGGACAAATCCACCTTCTCCAAAATGCTGCTCCCCTCCTAAAGAACATGCTCCTACAGTGGGTTTTCCCTCCATAAAGGCAGGCCATTTGGAAATGTAGCAGCACCCTAGAGTGTGGATTCCAGGCCTTAGAAAGAGCAAAGAGATAAAAGAATAGCTTTTCTCCCAAGAAATTAGATTTTTGCAACAAATTCAGGGCCTGGACAGCTTCGTAGAAGACAAAGAATACTTAGACTCTCCAAAACAAGCAGTCATTTCCAGCCACTTGCAGGTGTTTTTCCTCCAAAAACAAACACAGAAACAAATATTTACCGAGTTATGAAAATCCAACAAAAGTCACCTGGGTGCAAGGTTTCCTTACCTGTGGCCAAGATTTCTGGCATGGGATTATTAAATAGAATGTCACACCTAGTTTCCATTGCAAGACAGGAAGCTCTTACACCAAAGAGAATTAGTTCCAACAATGTATTCATAAGAATAAAGGTCACATCTCTTCAAGAAAATGTTTGTAGGTCTAAGGAAGAATGGACTACAGACAAAGGAAATGCCAGGGACTTTTTCCTCATCTGCCAGCATTTTCAGAAATGCCCTCAAAGACCATATGATCCCCTCTTGAATCAGTCCAATATGTTGACCAACAGCGCAAAGAGTGACACTGGCTGCCATGCCATCCACCTTCAATAATTTCTCATTTAGTCATTTGTGGGAAAGGCTCTTGCTTGTCTTTCCTCAATGCCCCAGATGTGAATAAGTGATGAAAGTAAGAAATGCAGTTGAGGGTGGTTACTGGCAATGCTCGTATTTCAGCCCTTTTGCTGTCTTCCATAGAGCTAAAGAGCTAGGCAAGAAAAAAGTGAATATATGTGGAAGGAGGGAAAATATGAAAGGAAGAGGAAAGGCAGAAGGAAAGAGAAGATAGGACAAGACAGAAGAAAGGGGTGAAAAATGGAAGGGAGAACTAGAGGAGAAAGGAACTGGTAAGAAAGTAAAGAAAGGGGTGGGAAGGAAGAAAAAAGGGAGAGATAAAAAGAAGAAATGAGAGAGATAGAGACCTGCTGTTGTCAGACCCTAGTCGGTTTGCACTGAGGATCCAGATAGCCTCTCAGTGAAAAGCTGAGATTAAGCTCACAACATAATTTCCATTATGTTAATGTTGCTTTAAAATATATTGCACAGAGTGCTGCAACAATCAAATTATCAATTATAATGTCTACTCAGAGTAGAAAAGTGTTACAAACAGAGGGCTGATTACTGCTTCAGTACATCCAATCTGCATACTCATTGTTCAGTACAGGGAAAACAAATTATCTTGTGTTGGCCCCAGTTCAAATTTAATTAAATGAGTGCAAAGCAATTATAATAAAGTACAATAGTGTAGTAATGAAAGGAAAATAACTCATTAACCTATTAATCTTTATTTATGTTCCTCTCAAATAACTATGTAATTTCTTTATCACTGCATCCCATAAGAAAAAGTAGGGTCTCACTGCTCATGGCCTGCTTTAAAAGGTTCTGTTTCGTTAGGATGCCTTTGCTGTCACCATTTATATCAACTTTCCTTTGCTCAAGGCCACCCCACCACCATCAAACACATACCCTGTCCCGTCATGCTCTCTGCCCACATGTACATGGATGTGGTCTAAATTTAGCACTCCTCTTTCACATGTCTTTGACACTTGTCAGTTGTGCAAAGTAAACGTCTCTGGAAGTCAAACTGTGCTTTCCACAGCATATGGGAGAGAAGCATCCTCCAACATCTGTTGCATAAGGCAATGCAGAACAAGACTGAGCAGGGAATCATTTCTGGTGTAGAGAGAGCTCAGTCTTTCAAATGTGAAGAGACACTAATAACAGCTAACAATCCACTGTGCTTTCTAATATAATTTTAAATATCAAATGTCCCCCCCAAAGACTCATGTATTGAAGGCTGGATCCCCAGTACAGCAATATTCAGAGGTGGGGCCTAGAGAGGTGACTGAATTCTGCGGACTCTAACCTTGTGAATGGATTAATCCATAAATGAGTCTAGAGCTGAATGAGCTTCTAGGAAGTGGGCCTTGTTGGAGATAACTGGGAGTATACCTTTGAAAAACATATCTTTTCCTTGATCTTTTTTTCTCCCTTGCTGCTTCCTGACCTCTGTGAGGTAAACAGCCTCCTCCTGTACGTGCCCGAGGCCACCGTGATGCTCTGCCTTGCCTCAGGCCCAAAGCAATGGAACCACTGGACTAGCATCTCTGAAATCATGAGCCAAAATAAACCTTTCCTCCTTTACATTGTTTTCCTCTGGTATCTTGCCACAGTGATGGAAAGCAATGCAGGGATCCAGCCCCTAAATCTTCATTTCCTTCTTCTAGGACCTCTCTCTACTTAATGTGGCCCAAGTATCAGCAGGATCATCTGAAAAGAAGTTTCTTAGACACCTGGGCCTCACCCCAGAACTGCAGAATTGGACATTTTACAGGATCCACTGGTGGTTCAGGTGCACTTTGAGGTTTGTAGAGCAGTGGTCCTGCTGGACACCACACTCCCTCTCAGGGAGAAAATAGTAATTCAGATGACTCTCCCAGGGCAACCACTCTCTGGAGCTGCCATACCAACCTTTTGGCTTAGCCCTTCCTTGCAACTCACAACACCTTGAAGTAACCTTTAGATACCCTCAGGTAATCAAGCTTGACTTTACCTTCTATTTGCATACCATTTGAAGACAAAGCCAGAGGAGAAGGATATTATAAAAGCAGATGTGGTTTGTCTTTCTAGAAACCTAGCCCTAAAACTTACCCTCTCTTTGAAGGAAAATTTGAAAAATGAAGAAAAAGGGGAGAAAAGAACATGATGCGTTGAGGAAGGAAACAGGCATTTGTTAAGTTTCTACTGCATGCCTAGAGATTTTTTTATGGTTTACTTAACTCAGTCTTCACAACACCTTTTTTTAGATACAGCAACTGGCATGAGGTTTAAGAGTTGTGTCTAAAGTTGCCTACATAGCTGATAAGAAACACAGATGAGATTTTGCTTGGCTTCAATGTTTATATTTTGACCATATTACATTCTCCAGAAAGTAAGAAAAGTCAGAAGAAAGAAAACAGGGAGGGAAGGAAGAAAGCAAGAAAGGAAGGGAAGGAGGGAGGGATACCAGATGAGGTTAACACAAAAAAGACAAGGTAGTGGTAGTTATTAGTGCTATTCACCAAATATTCCCTTTCTTGCTCCCTGAGGTACTTTAAGGATTAGCCTTTCTGTTCCCTTGGGAATAGCGAGGGCCATGGGAATAGCTTTGGCCAATGAGTTGCCCAGCAGAAGTTTCATGTTTCATTTTCAGGTCAAATATATAAGTTGCTTATGGATACTCTATAGGGTTGTCTCTCTACTCTTTGGCCAGGACAATTGGCAATATTCAAGATGGTGGATTTGCCATCAGCCATGGTGGATTTGTCCCAGAGTGATTCTACTGACCTTCAATTCCATGCCAACCTGGGATGAGCACATGGTAAGAAAAAGCAAGCCTTTGTTTTTGTTTTTGTTTTTGTTTGTTTTTGTTTTTGCCACTGAAGTTTAAGGTTTTTTTGTTACTACAGCATGATTCAGCCTAACCTAACTCTATGGATGCTAATCTGGAAGAAACAGGAGGGAGAGACATGTATAACACTTATGCACCACATTTGTGCTTTCAGCTGAGACACAGTCCTATGAGATAGATATGAATATTATTTACTACATGTGGAATAATTACTATTTATCTTATAGGTAAATTTAATAAAATTTAAGTGCCCTGCCTGCCCAAGGTTACAAAGTTTATAAGTTAGCAGGGCTAAGCTCATAGCACAAATCTGCTGATGACTAATCCTGTCTCAATATAGCACACTTCCTCCAAGAAAGGACTGGAGCCTGGTTCCCCACCCTTTGGTTCAAATAACCCCCAGGTTGGTATATCTTGTTTTGTACTTGTCCTTCCTTCCCCTCGCCACTCAGGTGGAATCAAGTTATCTTGTAAAAATCAGGCTAGAGCAAAACAGGTGTATGTATTTGCCAGTGGGTGGCTGCATTAGATTTATATGCTGGGGGCATAAACTACTGGATAGAGTCCAGAATGATAACCCTCACTGTGGCCAATCACAAGGAGCTCTGCTGTCCAGTTTTAGTTTGTCTTTCATACAATTGCTCTGGGTTGTTTGCAAGATTGAAAAGCAAAGGTCAGTGATCAAGGGACTGACCTCTCCATTGGAAGCCAACAATATCACATGTGGGCTGGAGGTGCAGCTTAATGGTAGGGCACTTCTCTAGCATTTATGAGGCCCTGGGTTTAGTCCCTGGCACCACACATACACAAAATACACTCACACACATTGAGCAATAGTTCTTGTATACCAAAGAATCTCTCTTAAGTAATTCATTGGACCAGTTCACTAAATTAACCAAAGTTGACCCTTCTTCCTATAAAACACACTTGTAACAACCCCAGCAGGCTGAAGGCTCGTGGCAAGTAAGCCACTTCCCAGCATGCCCTTGTTCAGCAGTCTCACCAGCTGAATGTTCTGCTTACCCAAGGGTCCATTATGTTTACCCTCAAACCTGTGAAATCTAGTTTTATTTGTAACTATAATCATGAGCCCTGATGTATTATGGGCAAGAAAGGAAACAGAGATGTTTCTGTGAAAACTAGATGGAATAGTTTGGAAGAATTCAATAAAGAGAAAAGTGTGTTGGAAAACCTATCAAAACTGGAGGAAAATTATGAAGACTTACATAGAAACTTCCCTCAGAATATTCTTCTAGTCTCTTAAGGTTTTATACACCATTTTTTTTAAACTGAAACTCTAAGATAATATATTTCAAGTGGCCTATGAAAGAGAGATAACTTAAAAGTTTTAGCAATGTAAGGAGCTATCATACCAACCTCTTAAGTATCCATAAGCAACTTATATATTTGACCTGAAAATGAAACATGAAACTTCTGCTGGGCAATTCATTCTGCTTAGCAATGTAAGTCTTAGCAATATAAATTTATTTATTTTTTGAAACAAGCCTAAGACTTTCACATAATTATTGGCCAAATGATATATATGTGTTGTGTTAAAATAAAAATGAGATGTATGTATCATTTGTAATCATTCCTAGGTCAACCCTACCCATTAGTTCCAGTTGTTTTTCATAAAGAACTTACATGTCCCCTTATTGTGTTTGCCATTTGCCCATATTCCCTTCACCTCATAGACATATTAAAATATTTCTAAATGTAAGATTTTTCATATTTTTTCATTTGACTGTTGAATAAACATTTCTTGAGCAACTACAGTGTGCCAAGTATTAGGCTGGGCTTGAAGATAGATCAGTGAATTGTACAGCCTACAGTAGGGAAAACAGACTTTAGATAAATAATCACCTCATATTTGTGAGGTATGTTGTGGAAAGGTTTGGGATCCATGCTTTCTTTGTGTAGGTCAGATCTGGTATGTTTTTCCTACTTCTGGATGGTAAAAGAAGAACAAATCAATTGGCCAGCAATTACCTTCTTGGATCTAATATTTCGTGTAGTTTCTTTAAGGCTGAATGATCACCACTGTCCTTTCCAGACCCTGACTGTGATTCTGTAGTGACTGCAGCACGTTGGAATTGTAGAGTTCTCTCAACTGCCCTTCTCTTCCCTGTCTTTCTTTCTCCTGTTTGTTCAGGGATACCTTTTTCCTCCTGCTCCGACCCTCTTTCACTGCTGTCCTTTAAGAACTCCACCAACAGGTTACCCCACCCTGTGGCTTTCACATGGGTGAGGTAGGTCAAGGTAGGAAAGTAGGAAAAGATGCAGATTGAGGGTTTTATTCCTCATCGTCTCCATATCAACAGTTCCCAGATGTTGTCCACATCTCTCTCTAAGAAGTCACAGCTTTTGGCAGACAGCCTTTTCATGATAGCTAATCTCTAGGTCAGGTCACAAATCAGCCCCACACTGGGGGAAAGAACTGAGGAAGCAGAATTTATGAAAGCATCCAGCCCCAAGTGTTATCAAGTACAGGGGCTCAGAATCATCCCTTCCTTAAATTTTTCACCCTAAGCACCTCACTCATCTTATTCTTGTCCTGGTCCCGAGCAAAATGCTTTTGTAAAAATCTAGATAGCAAATATTTTAGGCTTTGTTTGCCATGCAGTCTCTGATGCAACCATACAAGTCTGTTTAGAATGTGCATAGGAATGTTTCAATAAAACTTTAATTTCATAAACAAGTAGCCAGCCAGCTTTGACCCTTAGGCCACATTTTCCTAACCTTTGCTCTAGGTGAGACAGTTGCTAATGCTTGAGTACAACATTATCCCTCGTAGTTTCATTTAATCATGCACACATCTTTGCAAACTCCCTTTACTACACTTCCCTCAAATTATCCAAATCGAGCATGCCATCTGTTTCTTGCTAGGACCTTAATTGATGCACTTGGCTTTGCATTTCTCCAACACAAGCTTTACTGCAAAGTAAGAACAACAAAAACAACAACAAAATGGAGATTATGATCAATTACTATATGCCAGGGATGTGGTGCTTTTCCATGTATTCATCCATTCCCAAGTAGGATAGAATATTTCACATGTTGCAATGTGCTCTAAAAGTTAACCAGAGCTGAAATAAATAAACCTTTTTTCTTGAAGCCTGCAGTCTCAGTCCTGCTGCCCTCCTTGTCCTCTTCTAATGGAATGGAGGTCTATTCTAATTAAACAAGAAAACACATCTTTTCACAAGGGGAAAACAGAGGGCATTGTACTCTGTGCCTCAAAGAAAGCATGCTTTAATAAGAATCCTTTTATAATCCCTGCTTTTATTTGTAGCTTCCCAAAGCTTTTGCTGGTAATAAAAAGATTGTAAAGTTGACAAATATAAGCAGGGACAAAGAAGTTTTGGAAGATAATGCCTTGGTGAATGGACAAGTATTTGAAAGTGTATTGATCCCACAACATGTGGAAGCTGATCACAAAAAGCCAAAGCTACTATCAATCAGGGTGATAGTTCTATTACAAAGTAAAACCCCTCCAGGCAGGACAATTTATTCTTCATATCATGCAGAATTATGCTCTGTGTTGAGAAAAATAATTCAGTGCAAAATGTGTCCAAGGATCTGGATTCAAATGTAGATTCATAGCACCTCTCTTAACCGATTACACTACTTAAGGTACTACAGCAAATGCGTTGAGCTCTGTCATGTGTGCTTGATGGGTGTCTGCTGTCTTTTTGCCACTGTGACTTCAGCAGCAGCAGTCATTACTCCTGGTAAGAGCCACCAGATTTCAGTAGAGGATTTCTCGCTCTCACACTTGAAGCTTTTGTACTTCTAGTAGGGATACATCCCCAGTTCAAGAGTGAAACAAATGAACAGGTATAGACCAAGTAATGTATTGCATGCCCCTGCCCATAGAACTTGGTTTAATTTATAGGCACGTGATCCAGTTAAAACAGAGGAGATTCTCTAAGAAAGTGATCAGATGGGCTGTCCTTTCTCATTAAATATGAACGCAAGAGCTGGAACTGCTGCAGCTATTGTGGCAATGTGAAGAGGAAAGTCAACAGAGAAGACTAATGACATTGTTCAGTGACCAAGCAGAGCCTTGTTGGGATGGTTAATCTTGACTGTCAACTTGATTGGCTTGAGAGATGCCTAAAAGACTAGTGAAGCACAATTTTGGGTGAATCTGGGTAGGTAATGGGGGCATGACCTTAGAGACCGTACCTATGATGGCCCCCGGCCCCTTCCTCTCTGGCTCTCCCTGTGTCTCTGCCATGATGTTCCTGCCTTCTGCCCAGAGGAGCATAGACAGAAATCATGAGCCAAAGTAAAGCTTTCCCTCCTCTATTTGTTTCTTTTCTCCAGCAATGAAAATCTAACTAACATACTTGCCTAATGCCAGCCTTATAGACACTGATTGGGAAAATATAGGCAAGTTGTATGGTTCAATGCATCCAAAACCTTTGTAATATGACTTTGCAAATTCTCTCATTGGGAGTATTGAGACAGAGGCCATTTCCTGCTCCTTGAATATGGACTGGTCCTGTAACTCATATTGGCAACGTAGTAACAGGGAAGCATGGACTACCCTGCTGGAGCATGAGGGACAATGTGGAGAAGAGCTGAAGCGGCCCAGCCAGCAGCTGTCAAGCTTGCAGAATGAGTACTTCTTGGCTGATCCACAACTTCCACTGGGGGAAAGAAGGAGGCCAGCAGAGACCTGAAGAAACAGCTTAATTTGCTGACTGAAATTTTGAGCTAAATAGGCTTAAGCTGCTTTATGTGAGGTAATTTATTGTTCATAACTTACTAATATATATAATATATATATATATATATATATATATATATATACATATACATACACACACACATATCATTCCTGGATTTTTCGTTTCTATAAACTGATTACTTTCTGTTTAAGTTAATTAAGATTGGATTTTCTGTCATGGGAAATGAAAGCAATTCCTAATACACCAAAGGTAGACCTTCACTCCCCAA